TTCAATTTGTAGGAATTAGTAAAAAAAACCCTGATATATCATGAAAAAATACAAATAAATGAGTCATGCCACAACCAAAACTAAGGCGCTGGATGAGAGGCAACCCATCGTGTGTGTGTTAATGGTTATTGTTCGTAAAATATGCAGGGATCAGGAATGCGCAACCATAGCATGCCGCGGGGAAGGTCACGAATTTTACCTCGCTGGAAATTAATTTTTCCAGGGTGAGACAGAACACTCCGTAACGTGCACGCGTCGCGAGGTAGGCTTAGAATTTTTTACTCGACGAGAATTAATTTTTTCGTCAAAAACAAGGGAGCTCCATAATGGAACCACGTCGCAGAGAGTCGCTCAAAAAATTGATTTCGCTGAGAAATAATGTTTTTCGCGAAACAGAAGACTCCGTAATGGAGCCGCGTCGTGGACTAGGTAAGAATAATTTGATTTTCATTAAAAAGTCAAGTTTCACCCGTTTTTTTAGAAAATCCGACCCGACCCCGTTTTAATCCTAATTCTACCCTAAATTCACCATTATTCTCCCATTCTTCTCCCCTATTACCCACTTTCCCCCCTTCCCTTATCTTTGTATGATTTTTCAAGGTTCATTCTGTGACGCAAAGACAATTCCACCTCTTTCTCTCCCTATTCTTCTCTTCTCCAACATCGAAGGTACGTATCTTCCTATCTCTTGATTATTGATCATAAATTAGTGGGTTGATGTTGGGCGGTGATTGGTAGTGGATGGAAGTTGCGGAGGCTAAATTTTAATGGGTATTTCGAATTCTTGAGTAGAAATTGTCGATTGTTTGATCTCATGTGGGCATTGGGTAAAGTATGGTTGTATGAACATTGTAGGGTGAAGAAATGGGGGGCTATTTGATGAATAAGATTCTACGCTTCGTGGAATTTGAAGGTATTAGTGTGAATTCTTGAGTAGCACTGTGTGATTATATCTGTGTGGGATTGTGGGTTTGTTGTGTACTTATCGTGGGGTCGAGGTTGGTTGTACTTGACTGCTGTTGTGGTAACTAAATGAGATATATGAATGTGTTAAATATGTGGGTGTGCTGTAGTTTTGGGTATTGTGTGTTAAGCTTTGGGAAGTCTGAGTACCAAGGTAGGATCACTCTATGGAATAAGTGTGGGGTGGTGTTTGCACATCACTCCGTGAATTGTTGTTGTCTTGGGCTGAAATCTATTGTGATATAGGTAATCATGTCAGGTACTAAGCGACCCGGCAAAGAGGTGGCAACATCAAGTCAAAGGAAGCGAGTTCGGAGTGGGGGGAATGTACTTCCCGCACCAGCAATCCCACGAGGACAAACTCAGAGATTTGGATTGCGAGTAGTGGCCAAAGAGGGCAAAGTATGGTGGAAGAAACACATGGAGGCACGCTATTTCTCTGATGTGTGCATAGAAGGGACAATCTTGCAAGGGAGTTTCCCCGGATTATGAGGCGCATTCAAGAACCATATGGAATACATCTTTCTTGAGCCCACTGAGTGCAATATGCACGTGGTGATGGAGTTTTATGCTAAGTGGGCAACAAAGTCGAGATCACATTTTATGAAGGTGCTGGGAGTTGATGTGCCGCACCTCACTCTGGCGGTGTTGAATGACATAGTGGGCACTGCAACAGATACGGACCCATTGATGCGACGGGATTGAATATTAGACCATAATATCGAGCCATTCGCCACACTCTGTGGTCCTAAGACAATGGTCCGGTGGACCAAGCACAGTGCTAAGCGGTTCCACCAATCGCTTCCTTATACGCATATGAGCAGAGAAGCGCGGGTGTGGTTGAAAATAGTGATGAACTGTTTGATCCCCGAGCTGCACTACACAGACATCACACGTGATAGGGTGTGTTTGTTGTACGCACTAAAGACGAACACTGAATTAAATATGGGGCAGTCCTGAAGTCTGTTATGAGAAAGGCTCGGGTTCAGAAAGGGCGCAGGTATGTTTTTGGAGGTATCATTACTCGGTTGTGTCGTTCTGCAGGTCTACAAGAGGAGAGTTTGGATTATATGCTAGTGGATGTGACGAAGACAAAGGAGCTTGACAATGAGTTTGGCCCACCACTCACCACTTCGGAGCGCCATCGCCGCGATGAGTTGATTAAGGCTCGTATATATGGGCTGGAGATGTTGCGACACCAAAATGGATGTCGGGCATCCATTGAGGAGTAATTGGGGCAGGTTGAAAGGAGGTACCCATTGAACGTGTACGCCAAAGCATTGCTTGGCATCGGGCTTGATTTCCATGAGCTGGTGGATGATGATGTGCCCATAGATGAGGACAGGTTGTGTACTGGTTCTGATGTTGACTCCGACTCGAACACGAAGTGTGTGCCTATGATTGATCCAACTTGAGTAGAACTTGTGCCATGAGTTATGAGGCATTGTACTATCCGTGTATTGCATCTGAGTATAGAACTTGCCAGGCATGTTATTGAAATGAAATTGAAGTGTTGCTTTGTGTAGGAAATGATAATAGGCCTCCTTGAATATGTTAAAAAAGCTAGTCTTTTCATATTCTATATAACTCGTCGCATGTTGAGCTTGTAGTCTTTTATTGATAGCCGCATTTTCACCTTATACCATTTTATTGATTCCCTAAGTTGTTTTCACCCTACTTGCCTAAGCACTGTAGCATAGACTATGGTGGATTGAGTTAAAATGGAAGTGAATAGGCAGCCTGAAATAGTTACAAGGCAATGGAAAAGCCTTCAGTAAAAAAAAATATAATAATAATATTAATAAAAGAGTTGGTCCCTGGAATAAAGAAACGAGGGACGATTTGAGAAAAGATGAAAGTCACTTGTGATAGCATTGTTGAGAGAGGGCTGATAAATAAAGAAAAGAATGATGATATCTTAAATGTACCTGTGCTTAGGGGAGTATAAGTGACCACTATATGATTTTCCTACCCGTCCCTTAGCCAACATTCCAACCTAGAAAAGCCCTATTTGATTCTTTGCAAAGTACGCTTAATTTGTGGAGATGTACACAATGGGCAAGCCTATGGTTCTTAGTGCATGCATGGGAGATTTTCTTTTTGAGTGAGTGTTATGTGATGCCAAAGTCCTTAAATTTAAGTCAATCTGTTGAATTGAGTGTGAGGACTATTCCTTTGATTGAGGGGCACTTGTTGTATGAAAGATAGGTGATACCTAATGGCAAACATGAAGTTTAATGCTTTGGTTGCAGAAAGTTGTCGAATCATTACTTGAGTCATATGATGTCTAAAAGTGGTTAAGGCCAAGTGTAAATGAGTACATGCATGTCTTAAGTTGAAAAAAAAATCCTTGGGCGTATTTGCATGCTTAAGAACCAAATAACACCCGCATTTTCGCCAAGTTCGGAATCATTCTTTACTAATTGATAGTAGTGTTGAGTCATATGAATTCATTTATACTAACCAACATGATTAGTTGTGTTGGTGAGGTTAAATGAAGAAACAAGCACCGGGAAGCACGAGAAAATCCAAGTAAAAGAGCAACAAGAAAGGAGAACGAAAAATGAAGAACAAGGCATATCTGTATCCCCTTCGCGTCGCGGAGAGGGAATTTATTATTTGTTCGCGAATTGGAGTTGGAGACAAAACACTCCGTATTGTGCACGCGTCACGGAGAAGAGATGTTCGCCATGATTGGGATTCTTGAAGGCTTTCCGCGTCGCAGACCCTGGTGCCAGATTTGGCGGGTTTTGACTAAATATAAATAGACTAAGATTTATATTTTATTATTATTCTTTTTCTGGATTTTGAAGAACGACGACTTTGAGAGCTTTTTCATCTACATTTAGGGTTCATTCATAAACTATTCTCTATTGAATCTCTTTATGTTATTTAAACATTGCATAATTGAGAATCTTGATATGAGTAGCTAATCTCTTTTTATTTTATTATTGGGTTTTATTGAGTTTAATGGATCGAAGTTAATTATCACATGAATCAATCTTTTGCTCTTGATTTAGTATTTCGTGCTTGATCACCACAGGAATAACTATCTTGTCTGAATTGAACTCGGGAGAGGGATAAGAGGATAGAACGTGGGAAAAAAAGAGCATGATTCACTCTTATATTTAGAGTTGATTTGTATCTAGGATAGAGATACCTAGGAACCTTGCTCGATTAGTAGACAAGACGAAAACATAATGCTCGGTAAATGGTTCAGCCTATCCCCGCTCAACGATGTAGTTAGGCTACCAATTATTGTAGGATCAGAGGTCGGGAAACCATAATCATATAATTAACCATGTGATCATTGATTCGATATTTAATTAATATCCATTCTATAAGATAATATGCATGAATCCTCAAGTTAGCTGCAGCCCTGGAATTTCCCCAGTCATTGTTGAAACCCTTTTGAAATTGAATCATAGTTAAGCTTATAATTATAATATAAATTATACAAAAATCCAATTCACTATTCATGATAACACTTGTTTCAAATTGAAAGTATTGGAAAAATTGAATTAATCTAATCTTGAGTCCCTGTGGGTACGACGATACTCGACTCTTAAAAAGAGCCACTTTAATACTTGCACGACTAGTATGTTGCTCGGACTCTTCAAAAGTGTCAATGGGTGCGTGTCGGATTCGCCAAAAGTAGTGTATTTTTGGAGAATCCGAGATGGGTGTGGCATTAAAAGTGAAGAGTCCGCGCAACTAAGAGTCAACTACTGGATGATTGGTAGTTCAGTTTCCCCCTATCATTGATAAGGCTAGTGTTAAGGCAGATTGCCTATGCTGCCATCTCTTTAGGCATTGCTCACTCTTAAGGTTTTCTATTAGATGTGGTATTCAAAAAGAAACATTGTTTTCATACTTATATGGTTTTCGTCCACTATATGTATGGTTTGTCTTACCAAAGCAAAAGAATTGTTGCACGTTTACTATATCAACAGGGATTTTGAGAAGGCATATTAGGAAGTAGTTTGACAGAAAAAATAATCTTAGAAAATAGCAATTGAGCATAAGATGAAACTAACCAAAACTGCCAGTAATGCTTAAGAAGTTGGTAGCCTCAGCAACATGCTTAAACACTGCCAAAGAACCTGTTAGAAAACTCAGCACCTAGCCTGCAAACTGATCCACATTTAAACAGTAAGTTTTAAGGAAGAGCTTCAAGGTGGCAAGCAAGACCTGCATAATTGACCTTCTTCACTTGTCGATGGGAAGATAAATATTCAACAATTGTTTGTGCATTCTCCTGCAAGATATTCAAATAATTTAGTTAGAACACTATGATGTGACAAAATTTTACGAATATAAAGATGAAGATGTAGCAGTATGCATGCCATAATCATGAAAATCTATAGGGTCAAGAATTAATGATTATTGAAGGTGCAAGATGGCACATATATTTCTAGAACGAGTGGTGGGACAACAAATATCACCACCAAAAAAAGCCAAATAAAATTAAACTTGTTTTTCAATGTGAAGATCCATTGTTTTGATTCCTTTCGAACAAAGTCAACAATCAAATGACACTAACCCTGCACCTTCAACATTTTGTATTGAGTACACCACCTTCGCCAAGCTGGTTAAGTAGGAAAATATAAGCAAATTATCAGAAGGACACTTGACATGTTCAAAGAGAAACAAGGCATCCGACATTATTTACGTTAGGAAAATTATAAGCAAATTATCAAAAGGACACTTGACATGTTCAAAGAGAAAAAAGGCATCAGACATTATTTACGTTCGCTATACATAACTAAAGATTTTCAGCTATAGACTTGTCAATGAACTGATTTCTTATACTTTAATTATCTACAACAACAAAAAGAATTCTTAAATTTCATGATCAATTATGTTTCTATTAGAAAATGTAATAAGGATATCATCAGATTACCTAGAATGGAAACTCAACCAGTTTAAGCAGATTTGCCAACTGTTGCAGAACCTGATGACTAGCAACCTTTCTTTTCAGTGAAGGGCACTCGAGAAGATGGAGATCAACATGAAATAAATGCATACTATTCTTGGAAGAGTTTCAACTTGTGACGCTAATTATCTGCCCACGGCATTTATCACCCTTCAGTTGCTAAATCTCCTACACTCAAGCAAACTTGGTACAGTTTATGCGACAACCATCCCAAGGGCATCTACACTGCTTCACAAAGTCATTCTTCTCCATAACCAACCTATCAACGGTCGAGAGCAATTTAGCATTGCAAAAAACTAGTGGCAGCAACCTCTTCCCATTCATACAAAGTAGAGCCACAAATATGAGTGCATTTCCATTCAAAACATCACTACCCTACCCAATTAGAGAGAGTCAACAGATTCAGAACAAGATTCTTCTCTTCGACCAAGGCAAGAAGGTACCTTCCAACACTTGGAAGTGTATGACTTTCAAGGAGGGTCATGTTCAGAATGTTTAAGCAGATTTGTTGCTCTCGTGGATTACGCTTGTCCAGGCTTGAAACCACATCCTTGAATGTAAGTTTTTCCATGACCCGTTGAATACTAAAAGGGTAAAAATGAACAAGACGATCCAAGAAAGACCCTGCTGTCAGCCTCGTGTTCTCCTGCTTTCCAGAAGCCATAAATATGTAGCAGAGGTTAGTAATGACATCTTGGCTGGTGAATGGAGCTGACCAGTACCCTCCTTGACTAGAGATATTTCCAATTGTCCTCAGAGCATAAAGTATTTGTGAGAAATATAAGGAAAGAATATATTGTTGAATTGTTGTTTTAATAATTACATAGAGAACCCTATTTATAGACACTATATAATACAATTCCTTACCAAATAGGAGACTATAAACTATTCCTAGTTTGTGTACGATTGTGTTTTCCTATTCTATTCTAACACTCCCCCTCAAGCTGGTGCATATAAATTATATGTACCTAGCTTGTTACAAATGTAATTAATACGATGACCGGTAAGAGACTTGGTGAAGATATCTGCAAGTTGATCATTTGACTTCACAAATTTGGTAACAATATCTCCTGAGAGTATCTTTTCTCTTACAAAGTGACAATCAATCTCAATGTGCTTAGTCCTCTCATGAAACACTGGATTTGATGTGATGATATGAAGGGCTGCTTGATTATCACACACAAGTTCCATATGACCGGTTTCTCCAAACTTCAGTTCTCCAAGCAACTGTTTGATCCAAACTAGCTCACAAGTTGCTATAGCCATTGCTCGATTTTCTGCTTCTGAACTGGATCGAGCAACCACACTTTGTTTCTTACTCTTCCATGACACCAAATTACCTCCAACTAAAACACAATATCCGGATGTAGAACGTCTATCAAAGGGTGATCCTGCCCAATCAGCGTCTGTATATCCGGTGATATGCTTATGGCCTTGATCCTCGAAGAGTAGTCCTTTACCAAGAGCTGACTTTATATATCGCAGAATACGAACAACTGCATCCCAATGACTATCACAAGGAGAAGTCATAAACTGACTTACAACACTCACAGGAAAAGAGATGTCCGATCTAGTCACAGTGAGGTAATTCAACTTTCCAACCAACCGTCTATACCTTTCAGGATTACTGAGTTGCTCCCCCTGTCCTGGAAGGAGTTTAACATTCGGATCCATAGGAGTGTCAATGGGTTTACATCCCATCATTCCTATCTTCTCAAGAATGTCTAAAGCGTACTATCATTGAGAAATAACAATACCTGATCTAGACTGAGCAACCTCAATACCAAGAAAATACTTCAATCTGCCAAGGTCTTTAGTTTTGGAAATGCTGAAAGAGATACTGCTTCAAATTAGCGATACCAACTTGATCATTGCCAGTGATAACGATATCATCAACGTAAACAACCAAATAAATACACAGATTTGGTGCTGAATGCCGATAAAACACAGAGTGATCAGCGCCACTACGAGTCATGCCAAACTTCTGAATTACTGTGCTGAACTTTCCAAACCAAGTTTGAGGAGACTGTTTCAGACCATATAGTGACCGACGCAATCGACATACAAGGCTTCTAGACTCCCCCTGAGCAACAGAACCAGGTGGTTGCTCCATATAAACTTCTTCCTCAAGATCACCATGCAGAAAAGCATTCTTAATGTCAAACTGATGAAGAGGCCAATGACGAACGGCAGCCATAGATAGAAAAAGACGGACTGATGCTATTTTGGCCACAGGAGCGAAAGTGTCACTATAATCTAGCCCAAATATCTGAGTATACCCTTTGGCAACAAGGCGAGCCTTAAACCAATCGACTTGACCATCTGGACCAATTTTGACCGCATAAACCCAACAACAACCAACAGTAGACTTACCTGTAGGAAGGGAGACAAGCTCCCAAGTACCACTCGAATGTAAAGCAGACATCTCATCAATCATAGCCTGCCTCCATCCAGAATGAGAAAGTGCTTCACCTGTAGTCTTAGGAATGGAAATAGAGGACAAAGACGACACAAATGCATAATGGGGTGATGATAGACGATGATAACTTAAGAAGGTATAATGTGGGTTAGTAGGTCCCTCAAAAGTCGGTACAGGTAAGACCTGAGGTATGGGTAAGACCTCAGAGATATCAAGATGATCAGAAGATGTTTAGTAAAGTTGAGATTCAAAGACTGTTACATCGGCAGACATAAAATATCGGCGGAGATCATGTGAATAGCAACGATACCCTTTTTGAACTCGAGAGTAACCAAGAAAGACACATTTAAGAGCACGAGGGGCTAATTTATCTTTTCCTGGGGCTAAGTTATGAACAAAAACATGTGCTCCCAAAATACACGAGGAGGGATAGAATAGAGATGCGATTGTGTTTGTGTAGGATTGTGTTTTCCTATTCTATTCTAACAGTATTGTAATATCATCTTCTCCGTTTCGTTAAAGTGATGAAACCAATGAAATTATTGGACTCGTACCTACAACATTAATATTTTCATAAAGGAATGTTAAGACAGAATGTGAGGCTTTGCAATATGTAAATATAGTACATATGCTTGTATGATTTTATCTTATTTTTTCTACAACCCCAAGAGAAATATCTTAACACACTTGTTCATTTTACTGCTATATAGTGTTGAACTACAAGGGAATTGCAAGCTTCTTAGTTCATCCAGTAAAATATAGAGAAAAATTTGTAAAATCTTGTATGTATATACAATATTTCGTGATGAGGGATAGATAGCTAACAGGGAAAAATTGAAGTCTATGCCAAGTTATCATTTGTCATCCATCTTATTCTTCATGTTAGAAATTTGTCACATTTACTACAAGATAATCATTATATACCCTTGCATGTCTAAGAGTATACATGACTGTATAATTATCACTAATTAAAAGAAAAATGGATTTTAGCCCATTAATAAGTAAACCTTTTATATCCAAGTGACAACTTGCATTATTTCTCATCAGAGCTGCATTGGTGCTTGAATTGTGTTTCTGACAATGTCTATGCTTTTAAGTGATTGCTCATAGAACACTTAATACTTAAAAACCTCATTGCATAGGTTAGTGAGATATTGTGGAGAGGAATTTTAACAAATATAGCACTTCCTCCGTTTCAAATTGTTTGTCCTCCTTTCCTTTTTTGTCTGTTTAAAAAACAATGTGTCTTCTCTTTTTTTGAAATTCTTTAATTTCATCTTTCCACATGACACATTGTTTTTTAAACAGACAAAAATTATTGGACTTGTAACCTACAACATTAACATTTTCAGAAAGGAATGTTAAGACAGAATGTGAGGCTTTGGAATATGTAAATATAGTACAGATGCTTGTATGATTTTATCTTATTTTTTCTACAACCCCAAGAGAAATATCTTAACACACATGTTCATTTTACTGCTATATAGTGTTGAACTACAAGGGAATTGCATGCTTATTAGTTCATCCAGAAAAATACAGAGAAAAATTTGTAGAATCTTGTATGTATATACAATATTTCGTGATGTGGGACAGATAGCTAACAAGGAAAAATTGAAGTATATGCCAATTTATCATTTGTCATTCATCTTATTCTTCATGTTAGAAATCTGTCCCGTGTAGATTTCTAGGACATGATTTACTACAAGATAATTATTATATACACTTGCATGTCCGAGAGTATACATGACTGTATAATTATCACTAATTAAAAGAAAAATGGTTTTTAGCCCATTAATAAGTAAACCTTTTATATCCAAGTGACAACTTGCATTATTTCTCATCAGAGCTGCATTGGTGCTTGAATTGTGTTTCTGACTTGGTCTATGCTTTTAAGTGATTGCTCATAGAACACTTAATACTTAAAACCTCATTGCAATATAGGTTAGTGAGATATTGTGGAGAGGAATTTTAACAAATATAGCACTCCCTCTGTTTCAAATTGTTTGTCCTCCTTTCCTTTTTTGTCCGTTTAAAAAACAATTTGTCTTCTCTTTTTTGGAAATTCTTTAATTTCATCTTTCCACATGACATGTTTAAGACCACGAGATTTAAGAACATTTGGTACATTCTACATATCTTTAATTTAAGTTCACAATCAAAAGTCTTCTCTACTTTCTTAAACTCTATGCCAAGTCAAAACAAGACAAAAGTTAAAATGGAGGGAGTAATAAACTTGACAAGATGCACCAATAAGAAGTTACAACAACGAAGATACCAGCCAACAGGATGAGGGTCTGCTGTCCTTCGATGGAGATTCCATTGGTTTACGATATGCTCATTTTGAGTAGATATATAAAATAGTAATTCGCCCAAAGCAACCATGGAAAACCTTCTCACTTTCTCTTGCCTGTCTATCAGACCATCAGTTAGACAACCTAATATTCCAGAATTTTCCAGCTCATCCCCAATGAAAGTAGAGAGTGACGAATCAACAAGACAATAAGTGAAGTAAGTTGAGCACGTAACAGAGAAACCTTGGAGTGATGAAGCATTTTGACTAGAACCAACACAATAGACCCATTGGTCAAGATGTTGGCTGCATCAGCATTGCTGCTCAAAAGCTCAAAGTATCTGATCACATTTTGCTTCTCCCCTAAGGGAGTACTCCCACTAAAAATACTGATGATTCAACTATTAAAAGAGTCTAATTGCTCCTCTGACATTTTGACAATATCAGACAGTTGAGGTCCATCAAATGAAAGTGAAGGAATTGCATCTGTTCCTCTATCTAATTTTCAGCTAGGCATTACAGATCTTGACTGAGAGATCAAATGGATGCCAAAGAACATCTGAAAGGTTCGTAGATGGTTTTGAGATATCAGAGAAATCTTATTTTTATAAGAACTGGATGAGGAAAAGGAAGCATGATTGAAACTTCAACGTCATATAATTGGTCAAAAGCACTTCCAAACAGTTTACCTTTAGTGAACTTCCAAAATGTTGCCACCAATTTAAATTTTCCTTTATTCATTTTAGGGAAAAATGAGGGGAGAGAGAGGTGAACTATTGGGAGGAAGGTGTCTTTAATATACCAATCAACTTTCTTGCTAATCCAAAATTACATAGCTTCTAGGAAACAATTGGGACTTCAACGTCATATAATTGGGTAAAACACTCGTCATGATGTGGAAAAGTCACAACACAAAGATCATAATACCTTCCTGATTCTATTTCCATCCAGCAGGATGTTTGATTGCTTTAAGTCACAATTAATTATTCCCTTTGAATGCAAGTATCTGGTATAGTGGACAAAAAAACAAAAAGTAATTCACGCCCTAAACAACAAGTGTTACAAAAGAACAATGAAGTCTAAAGATACTTATAGAAGAGCTCTAACAAGGCCACGAGCAAGATCATGCATTGAATCTTCGGGAAGCTTACCATCCTTCAGCTTTGAGATTAAATGATCTTAACAATCTCCCAGGTGTGGTTTAAACTAAAATACAGGTAAGATGATGAAGACGAGAGTTGTGACATTACCAACTACAGTAAACTATGGTCATTTTGACTACTCATTATATACAAATCAAAAAAGAAACCTATTTCTTTCACATCATTTTGCTGGCACAAGAAACAAGTTAGTCCAAAGAGTGAGAACCTATATTTGTATTTTGTGAGACTACAAACAATCATCTCTAATTAAGTGTTCAATCGCACATGACACAGATGTCCTTAGTGCCTGTTTGGGAAATCCCAATGTAGGCATGCAACAAATTTACCATGAAACCTCAATATCACATGCCTCTACTATAAAAAAGACAAATTTTGGATGTTCGTGTCTAATGTCAGCATAAGGCATCCTATATGCCAACATACTAGTTATACCACTGGAACAATGAAATGTATTTATAATATAGAAGACCTGTCAGTGTTTACCTGTTGCAATAAGCTCATGAGATTTCCTCCAACACAATATTCTAAAACCAACCACAGGTATGCAGATGTTTCATACTTATGGATCGGTTGAATTAGAAAATAAGTCAGAGTAATCTTCTTATTAAACACCAAAAGGAGCTTTACCATAGAAACTAAATTGAAGAAAAAGAAAGGAGTTACATGCAAATCTCACTAGGAGTAGAACTTCAATACATTTGCATGATCTAGAGAACGAAGAATTCTGACCTGCAGCAAATGTAGCCAATAGAAGAATAAGTACATGCATAAAGGAAACTGAAAGAAATAGATTTTAAGAAAAGAGGTTGGGGTTCTTGATCATTTTTTCACGAGACTTGAAATTTGTGCTACAGAATAGAAAGGTTCATAGAGGAGTGCCGCGTTACTTGTCGTTCTGGGTACGGGTTGGCTTACCTAGTCGTGGGTTATAGTAGGTGCTATGTGACTCGGGAAGTCGGGTCGTGACACAAATATACTTTAGTTGAGTTGGATATGAAACAGTCCAACAAACTATCTCCTCGTCTAGTTGATAGATTTAGAGTAAGAGGAACCATGTCTAGGTATTTTGCCAATATTTCTTATTGGTAGTTTAGTTTTCCCCTATCCTTGATTATGCTAGTGTTAAGGTAGATTGCCTATGCTTCCATCTCTTTAGGCCACCCTCTTAAGGTTTTCTATTAGATGTGGTATTCAAAAAGAAATATTGTTTTTGTCCACTATATATATGGTTTGTCTTACCAAAGCAAAATAATCGTTGCAAGTATACTATAATCAACAGGGAAAGATTGAGATGGCATATTAGGAAGTAGTTTGATAGGAAAAAATGATCTTAGAAAATAGCAGTTGAGCATAAGATGAAACTAACCAAACTGCCTGTAATGCTTAAGTACTTGGTAGCCTCAGCAACATGCTTAAACATTGCCAAAGAACCTGTTAGAAAACTCAGCACCGAGCCTGCACCCATAGCCTGCAAACTGATCAACATATAAACAGTAAGCTTCAAGGAAGAGCTTCATGGTGGCAGGATACCGACAACCATAGCGCCTTAGTTCAAAGTCCCAAGAAAATCACTTGTTTGAATACCTAGAGAAGTGCAAAGACCTCCCTGGATGGTCAGCAAGACCTGCATAATTGACCTTTTTCACTTGTGGATGGGAAGATAAATATTCAGCAATAGTTTGTGCATTCTACTGCGAGATATTGAATTAATTTAGTTAGAACACTGTGATGTGCCAGAATTTTACGAATATAAAGATGAAGATGCAGCAGCATGCATGCCATAATCATGAAAATCTATAGAGTCAAGAATATTAGATTATTGAAGGTGCAAGATGGCACATATGTTTCTAGAACGAGTGGTGGGACAAAAAATTTCACCACCAAAAAAACCAAATAAAATTAAACTTGTTGTTTTTCAACGTGAAGATCCATTTTTTTGATTCCTCTCAAACAAAGTCAACAATCGAATGACTCTAACCCTGCACCTTCAACATTTTGTATGAAGTACACCACTTTCGCCAAGTTGGTTAAGTAGGAAAATTATAAGCAAATTATCACAAGGACACTTGACATGTTCAAAGAGAATCAAGGCATCAAACATTATTTACGTTCAATACGCTATACATAACTAACTAAAGATTCTCAGATACAGACTTGTCAATGAACTGATTTCATAAACTTTAATGAACTTTATCAACAACAACAAAAAAAATTCTTAAACTTCATGGTCAATTATGTTTCTATTAGAAAATGTAATGAGGATATCATCAGATTACCTGGAAAGGAAACTCCACCAGTTAAACACTGCTTCACAAAGACATACTTCTCCTTAACCAGCCTATCAACGGTCTAGAGCAATTTAGCATTGCAAAAAACTATTGGCAGCTACCTCTTCCCATTCATACAAAGTAGAGCCACAAATATGAGTGCCTTTTTGTAACGACCCGGAAAATGATAGAGTGAAACTAGAGCCTCACATGTGAGTTTGGAGTCGAGAACTTAATGAAATGATTATATTTGAATTTGACCCAAAAAGTTCTTAAAAATGTGCTTCGGAAGTTACCGGAAACTTGTTTAGCTGTATATAAAAAGATCCGTTTCGTTTTTCGAAAATATGACTTCATATTCTTGTTTAGGGGTCAAATTGAGTGGGAAATGGGTCTAACCCAAATTTTAGAGCAACCGTATCAAAATCCGAAATTTCCAAGTGAAGCCTTTTCGAGGGTCTACTTTGGAGGGTCATATCTCCTAGAAAACAAATTA